TTCATTTCCTTCTCACAATATTCCTGAGAGATGGCGTAAATCATTTTACCAGATGAAGAAACTGGGATTCAAAGAGGTTACATGGCTTAGTATTTTAGCTTAAGATCACATCGTAAATGATCCCAGTGAACCCAGCCCTGTTTACTCTAAAACCCATGTCCTTCCCCTTGTACCAGTTTTTACTCTTCCTTTGGTGGCAAGATATATGTCACGTTTCATCTCTGGTTCACTTTGGCCTATTGAAACAAAGTGGTGGACAATAATTTCCCCATAGTCATGTTATTTTTTCTTCTATTAAAAAATGTTTAAGTTTATTTATTTTGAGAGAGAGAGCCTGGAAGAGAGAGAGGGAGAGAGAAAGAATCCTAAGCAGGCTCTGCACCATCAGCACAGAGCCCAATCTGGGGCTCGAACCCACACACTGTGAGATCATGACCTGAGCCAAAATCAAGAGCTGGATGGTTAATCAACTGAACCACCAAGGCACCCACCCCAGTCATGTTATTTTTTTTTAATTTTTTTTTAACGTTTATTTATTTTTGAGACAGAGGGAGAGAGAGCATGAACAGGGGAGGGGCAGAGAGAGAGGGAGACACAGAATCGGAAACAGGCTCCAGGCTCTGAGCCGTCAGCACAAAGCCCGATGTGGGGCTCGAACTCACGGACCGTGAGATCATGACCTGAGCCGAAGTCGGACGCTTAACCGACCGAGCCACCCAGGCGCCCCAATCATGTTATTTTTAATAGAAATTAAATCAGCTAGTGAAGATACAGTAACATATGATTACATGAAAGAAGGAATAAACCAGTAGTTACAATAGGAAATGTGAGAACTAAAACAACAAAATGTAAATGACTACCTTACTGATAGGACCTAGAAAATAAAACCAGTAAGTAAATACTTACTAATTGCTTTTAATAGTGAACTTAATGCCTTACTGAACTATTGCTTTGTTATAATATTCATTAAGTTGCAAGTTAAGGTATTTTGTTCTAAAATTTAAAACTATTGTCCTGGGGTGCCTGGGTAGGTCAGTTGGTTAAGGGTCCAACTCTTGCTTTCAGCTCAGGTCATGATCTCACAGTCATAGGATCGAGCCCTGCACCAGGCCCTGTGCTGGGTATGGAGCCTGCATAAGATTCTCTCCTTCTCCCTTTTCCCCTTCTCTCTTTCTCTCTCTCTCTCTCTTGCAAAGATAAAAAATAAAACTATTGTCCCTTTGCAAAAAAAATTGTCTTATAGACATATCTATAATGAATTATGAATATTTTACTTTTTTTCATAAAATCCAGTATGTATTTCCATTTATAGCACATCTCAATTCAGAGTAGATGCATTTCAAGTGCTCAACAGCCACCTGAGGCTGTGGATATCATTTGGGAAGCACAAGTCTAGATTACTGATAGATTGGATTATGATTCTCAGAATAATCTGGATAATGAAATTATAATCCCTAGAAATTATTTCTAAAAAAACAATGTCTCACATATATCATTTTGATTAGGATATATTAATATGATAAATTGATAGAAATATCTATCCTGGGGGAAAAGTAATATCAAAGCTACCAATTTCCCACTGTAATGGCACTCCTTCCTGTATTCTCTTTTAAAAAATTTTTTTTTAATGTTTATTAATTTTGAGAGAGAGAGAGAGAGAGACAGAGAGCAAGCAGGAAAGGGGCAGAGAGAGGAAGACACAGAATCAGAAGTAGGCTCCAGGCTCTGAGCTCACAACACATAGCCCGACATGGGGTTCGAACCCATAGACCGCAAGATCGTGACCTGAGCCATAGTTGGCTGCCCAACCGACTGAGCCACCCAGACGCCCCTCTCCTTCCTGTATTCTAAGGATAAAAATATATGAACTCTCTCTCTGACTTTTCATTATTTTGTCTACTTCTATACTCGAAAGCCTTGATATATCAATTTAACTGTATGATGAGTTTGCCCCTGCTGCAAGCTGTCCGAATACACCATGGGCATAGCTGGGCTTGTTTGAAAGTGTGAGGTTGGTTAGCTCTCCTGGCGTGGAACTCTGTGCTTTTAAAAATACTTGGCCTAACATAGAAGCATTTACATAGCATCATATCTCAAGTTACTGATTTCCAAACCCACTTGAAAGGGCTTAGCTTTTACTGTAGAGAAAGGTGGCCAGTTTTCCTCAAATTCCAGTTACTGCAAACTCTCTTGTTCCTGCCTTACCATCAAAAGGATATTAGAGTGGAAAAAAAAGGACATTAGAGTGGAGGAAGTGACTTGGGTTCCCAGAACTGCTCTTCCCATTATGCAGTGGAAGCTGTCTTTTTATCACTGTCTATCTAAGTGACTGGCAGATTAGTCTCTCTCTCCAGTCTCCTGTAAAACACATTGGCCAATGCACCAGACCCCTGACCTTCATGGCCAACACACTACCTGGCACATTCCCTCTGCCCACTACCCCCATGTCCCATTCCTGTCAGTTGAGTTCTGTGTTTGCCAAGAGTTGTTGACTACTTTCCAAATTGTATATTCTTTTTAAAAAAATTTTTAATGTCTATTTGTTTTTTAGAGAGAGACAGAGTGCGAGTGGGAGAGGGGCAGAGAGAGAGGAAGACACAGAATCCAAAGCAGGCTCCAGGTTCTGTGCTGTCAGCACAGAGCCCAACGTAGGGCTTGAACTCATGAACTGTGAGATCATGACTTGAGCCAAAGTCAGACACTAAACCGACTGAGCCACTCAGCTGCTCCCCAAATTATATATTCCGATTGTACTTTTAATAGATTGATTAAATATAAAGTAAAAATGATAGAGCATGATTTTGAAAAGAAATAATTAAAGGCATTGGAAAGGGTTGATAAAAGTGAGTCTTTTTTTTTTTTTTTGAAGATTTTATTTTTAAGTAATCTCCACACCCAACGTGGGACTTGAACTCACAACCCCAAGATCAAGAATCACATCCTTCACTGATCAAGCCAGCCAAGTGCCCTAATAAAGGTGAGTCTTAAAAAAAATTAGAGTATGAAACTATTGTAAAAATAGAGGGAAAAATTTTAAATTCAGAATATGTTCTACGATCACTTTGCAAGTATTTTTAAGTTTTTCTTCTAAGGAAATCAACACTAGAGGTCATATTCCCATGGATGTAGTTTATGCAAGAAAAAATACAGACATAACCTACCGATGCATGCTTAAAGAAGGGCCTTGGCTTTCCTGCAGATTGACAAGGAGTGTGCATAATGGACGTTAACAGAATAGATCTGATTTCCTGTCTTGTCTAGATTTTCTTCTCCAATAAATTAGCAAACTGCTTGTTCAGATCACACTGAAGAGGACTGTTTTCACTGCATTTTATTGATAATTTACATATCCTTAAAATGTTCATAGGGACAATAAATGCTATTCCTTTTTTGTTTTGAGAGAGAGAGAGAGAGGTAAAGAGAGGGAGACAGAGGATCCCAAGTGGGCTCTGCGCTGATAGTGAACCATGAGATCATGACCTGAGCCATGACCTGACCTGAAGTCAGACACTTAACTGACTGAGCCACCCAAGTGCCCCAATAAATGCTTTTTCTTGAACCATATTCTGTTTCTCCATTCAGGGAGAAGGACTATTTTCCAGGTTTTCTTTTCTGTTTTTTTTTTTTTTTTTTAAGTTTATTTATTTTGAGAGAGACAGAGAAAGAGAATCCCAGGCAGGCTCTGCACTGTCAGCTCAGGGCTCAAACTCACGAACTGTGATCATGACCTGAGCCAAACTCAAGAGCTGGACGCTCAACCAACTGAGCCACCCAGGCACCACTCTGGGTTTTTATTGTTATTTATTTTATTGTTTTTAATGTTTAATTTTGAGAGACAGAAACAGAGCACGAGCGGGGGAGGGGCAGAGAGAGAGAGGGAGACACAGAATCCGAAGCAGGCTCCAGGCTCTGAGCTGTCAGCACAGAGCCCAACGTGGGGCTTGAACTCCTGAGCCATGAGATCATGACCAGAGCCAAAATTGGATGCTTCACGGACTGAGCCACCCAGTCGCCCCTCTGGGTTTTTATTTTTAATGTGGTTTATGAAGAACAGATTATCTTGTATTTAAAATCAACCATTAAAACAACATTGCAAGTGGTAAGAATATATAGCTTGAGAGCCAACAGTCAATCACAAAGCATAAAGATGGCTTTAAACACTATAACTCAATTATCAGTAATGATTGAATCTGCTGTATGCAACACAATACTATTAAAAAGAGTTGGACAGTTCTTTTCATTGTAATTGTAAAAAAAAAAAAAAAAAAAAAAGAAGATGCTGCAGAAATATCCTTTGGCCCCCAGAGGGCGCGAGGCGGAAAGAAGTCAGAGCTGAGAGCTGGATCCCTTCAGATGGGGGCCTCCGACCTTACCAATGCTGCTTAAGAGAATAGGAAAAGTGGTCCACATCCACCTCAGAGGACATTCAATATGGGATTCTAGTAGACATAAGGACTGTCCATATTTAACTCTACTCATAGTTTTTGAAGTGTAAAAATTGCAAGAATTACAGAAACCTCCTTATCCCCTCTACCTTATAGATAGAAATGGAGTGTGTATGTGAGGATATTAGAGAGAGAAATAGAGAATATTTGAGCGTGCATGCCCATGTGTGAGAGAGGGGGTGTGTGCACGTGTGAGAGAAGGAGTGTGAGAGAGAGTAGGAGGGGGCACACGGTGTTCCAGGCTTTAATTCTCATAAGCAACATAAGAATACTATTGAAAGTATGTGAATTTGGCTAAATTATGCATAAAATTGACAGTTCTAAATGTTCTGCCAAAGGCTAGAGCTGCAGATTTTCCCTTCAAGACAGGAAGCAAAACCCAAGCACAGCCCTTTCCTGTGCTCTCCCTAGTATTTCAGTGACACTTTATTTATGCTTAGGTGCTTGGAAGAGTATTACTAATTGAGCAGGAATTTTTCCTCTTCAATATTTTATTGAAGTGTTTCAAGCAACACTAGTAGCACAATATCCACTATTAAGAACTTTGCACATGAATGTAACTGCTACATGATGTCATTCATTTATTGAAATTATCGTTATTATGAACACATAATGGAAAAATGCTCCTCAAAAGAGGAAGGAGGACGTTGACCATCCATAGGACAAAGCTGTCTTCAAAAGATAAGAGATGTGGGAAATTGTTCACAGTTGGGTTTTCAAGTACATGAGAACAGAGTTCATCTACGTGCATGTATCCACAGGCTCAAGGTTTTGGATAAGGAGGCTCAGGAATGTCTCCAGTTGCTTCCTTGATCTGTATGCAATCAGTCCTCCCTTGTTGGCCCACCGATCCACGCCAGCAGCACCTTCGTTTTCCACGTGGTACACCAGCTGTGGCAAATCAAGCCCCATTTCTGAATTTCTTTGCAGGCATTCTCTTAAGTCTACCATTCCCCCACCCATGGCCCTGAGTATGGCATGAGCCGCACAAGAGTCCCACTTGAACGTGGTATCCTCTGAAAAGATGTAAATGTCAACAAGGCCTTGGACAACACAAAGGCTCTTGTAACCAGCCCCGGCTGCCCGGAATATGCGCTCGCCACATACACGTGACAATGCGGCTTTGATAGTGTCCTTTTCACTCGTACTAATGACCGCTGAAAACGGGTGGGAGCGTTCCGCCTCAGAGCTGGTGTTTTCAGTCATTTGGCTCCGTGCTTCACTGTTCTTTCTTGTAGAGTCAAGACACTGAAGTGAATGGATGTTGGTATCCATGTATGAAAGGCCCCAGTAGCACTGTCCTTTCCACCTGCAGAAGAGAACTTTCAGTTTGTGGCCATAGGCTGTCACATTTGTTTTATTACTTATGTTGTTTTCCAACAGGATGATATGAAAAAAGTGTATCAGGCAACAAATCTCAATGCCCTTAAGGCTAGAAATAGGTATCAAGTAGCTAATTGGTTTGTAAAAGTAACTCTTATGCCTGCACGTGTCATGTGGCTGCCAGTTAGGAATGCTGTCAGCATTATCACATCAGTCTAGAACAATGTGGAAACATCTGTGGGATTTCTGGCCTCCAGGAATGGTCTGACCTCTTGTACTTCCATTTTTAAGCTGCTTGTGTTCCATTTTTCCCAACTCTGTGGGAACTCTGGAAGGGAGAGGACATGTCTGTAGTTCATGTGGCATCTAGCAGAGCACCTTGCAGTTTCTATCAGCATCCACCTAGCCCCCACTAAAATGATATTTAACCCAGGATTGAAAATAGAAGGAATTTTAATTTAAACCTGCAGACTTTAGTAGGAACACCTTAGTGTATCAAGTCATGGTAATGTCATGTGGAGTGATAGATCTTACCTGAGTGTGTTTAGATCTTGTGATACAAAAGGTTGGTTGATGACTCCCATTAGGGGCACTCCTGTCTGTAGGTCATAGACACCGATTAAAATGGTGACACACTGAAGTCCACTGGGGAAGATTCCTTGGTTGGATTTAATGTCAGCAGAACCTTTTATATACTGATAAGTTGAATCTGGAAAAAAAAATGAAGCACATTTGTTTGGATTCAGGTAATGATTATTTCAAAGATAATGATGGATACAACTGGAAACGCTGTGCTGTATCATTTCTGTGTTCTATCAATTTGGTAACTGCTGTGGTCTGAATGTATTCTCCCCAAATTCTAACCCCATAAAGGTGATTGTATTAGTAAGTTAGGCCTCTGGGAGATACCTAAGTCATGAGAGTGAAACCTTAATTAATGAGATTAGTGCCTTATAGAAGAGGCTCCAGAGAGATCCTTAGTCTTTTCCACTCTATAAGGACATGGTGAGAAGGTGCCAGCTATGAAGCAGGAAGAGGGCCCTCATCTCACCATGCAGGCACTCCAGAACTTTGAGAAATAAGTTTCTATTGTTTATAAGCTACCTAGTCCATGGTATTTTGTTAGCACAGCCCGAACAGACTAAGAGAGTAATCAGTCAAGTTTTGCCTTTGAGTGTCACTTGTTTCAAATTGTTATTTGACCTCTTGTACTTCCATTTTCAAGCTGCTTGTGTTCCATTTTTCCCAACTCTGTGGGAACTCTTGAAGGGAGAGGACATGTCTGTAGTTCATGTGGCATCTAGCATAGCACCTCACATACCATAAGCACTCAAATATCCATCATATGTCAAAAGCATTTAAAAGCTAATGACTCAGGATGACTGTGGTGGGATTCTTTAGAGCCTCTTACTAATCAGAGGACAAGTATAGTGTGGATGGATGGGAAAATCTCCTTCCAGAAATCTCTCAGGGGTGAAATTACCTTTTTTTTTTTGTCCCTCAAATTAAATTTTTTAAAAAATGTTTTATTTATTTTTGAGACAGAGACAGAGCATGAGCGGGGGAGGGGCAGAGGGAGAGGGAGACACAGAATCAGAAGCAGGCTCCAGGCTCTGAGCCATCAGTACAGAGCGTGACGCGGGGCTCGAACTCACAAACTGTGAGATCATGACCTGAGCCGAAGTCGGGCACTTAACTGACTGAGCCACCCAGGCACCCCTGTCCCTTAAATTAGAAGAGAGAGTCAGTGATGGTGGCATAAAAGGAAGAAATTGATAGTCCTCCTGTGAAAAAGAAGGCAATGAGCTTAAGAGACATACATGCCAGCAGCTGACTGCCAACATCTAGTAGTGAGTTAATACCCAGTTAAGGTGTGCTGTGCAAAAGAGCTGGCTAGCAGAATCAATTCAGGATAGAACCAAGAAATAGGAGATTCTGGTCCCTCAGAAAACCACAACTAATGCTAATTTACCATTGTGTGATAAAAGATTTTGGGAAATCTTAGTTTGCATATGTAATCCATCAATTGAATGTTCTGTAATTCCCTGGTGATTAAAGGCACTTCTGTAATGTTATATTAATGTGCTTGCAAGATGGGAGGATGGGGGCAGGGGGTGCCTGGGAGTGGTCCCAACTGTATTGGGCAGAATGTGGTAGGCAAGTGGAAACGAAAAAAAAAGGAGAGACTCTGCAAATTAATATCCTGGGCATTGTATTAATAGCATCACTGAAATAGACCTACACTGTTAAAACACAGAGCTATAAACTAGGGTTCTACCACAACCATGCCCAAGAAAATAATAGGTAAGATTTACATAGGGCACACAAACTGGGAGCGAATCACATTCAGCTGTGTTATACTGTGTTTTGCTTGACCTATACAGTGGTTTTGACTGTTTACTTGTTTAATTGAATTAGTAGTCAGTGGTTAAAAAATGGGAGCTATCACTTAAAAACCTGGATTTTGGTTTCTCTTTAAAAACCTAAACATCTAGACTGTACTCCTATATGGCAATAATTTGCTAGAGCTGAGTATTCTTTAAATGGCACGTGTGCTCAATTAGTTATAGCTACTATCAGTTCATTATTCTCTCATATTTACCAGTCTGGCCTCTGAAGTCTTTCAAAGATGAATTAATTCAGCTTTGTGTGTGTGTGTGTGTGTGTGTGTGTGTGTGTGTGTGTGTGTACATTAATTCAGCTTTGTATATATATGCACACACAGAGATGGCACACAAATACTTGTGCATATCCATTGTAGAAATGTTACAAATATACACATAACAACACATCATCACACGTATACTTTCACTCTTCACTATTCATTTTATAACTCTGAAATGTTAAAATCTTCTAGGAGAATTAAACTACACTCTGTATTTTTATTTTCCCATGCCTCCTCCCACAAAAGGATTACTAATAAGAACAAATAAAAGCAAACATTCTCCTCTACTTACCTATGGGATCCACCCAGATTCCCAAAATGTCCTGTGGAATGCTGATCTCTATTGAATCCAGAGTTGGGTCAGTAAAAGTGACATCCTGATGGACAACCTTGGCTAATGCTTCAGACGCCAACTTGTTACCATTAAGGACTTTGCTAAGAAGCTCTACTGTTTCTTCCTCTGTTGGACACAGTCTCAAGATAATCTTTTCCCCTGGAATAAAGACAAACTAAAAGCCATTACATTTCAAGAGCTCTGGGGGAGAAACAACAACTGAGGGGTGAGGAAGAGCCAAAGCTGTGCACTTAGATTGGGCGACGGCAATATGTTCATACTCCTGGTTCCTACCCTGGTTGACCGCCAGAATCACCCAGGCAGCTTCACAAGGTCACAGGTGCCCAGTAGTGGGCGAAATACCTAGTATGACGTGAGGGGTAGATTCCAGGTATCAAAGAAACTTCTTCCCAGGAAAATGTCCACAGGGGAACATGCATACAATCTTGCATCTAGTTTAAGGGAGCTCACGAACCAGTTAAGAAACCCTGAATCCCGAGCCCTTGATAATATTTATGTTTTATGCCTTTTGCCTTCTGAATATACACAGGTCACCTTGTTAGTGTTAGAATGTATTATCGAAAAGAAGGGAGGTTTTATCAGCACACGAAATGCTTCTACCCCCCTCTATAAAACTGCTTTTAACTAAAAGGTGTTTATGCTCAGCAAAGTACCATAAGATGAAGTGTAACTACGGTTTATGTGTGGTAAACTGCATGACTCTAAATGACATACCTAGAAATAGCTCTCCTCTGTGAAACCCACTGGAAATTAGGATGTAAGTAAAGCTACTCATCCAAATGAAACCACAAGTTACCAAATCCAGCTGCTTCACGATCACTTTGAACATGCTTCTTAGACCCTTGGTTAATCTGGTTTCTAGCTCCCAACAGAAGTGAGGAAAGAGGCAAAAATAGGCAACTTAGTAGCAACACAAAGGGACGGCAATGGTGAATATAAACTTTTTAAAAGAAGAAGACATGGCACTTTGGGGCTTTTTAGGTACATAGACAAGTACTACTAGTGACCCTAGCCATTCCAAGGACTGGCAGCAGCATCACCTGAGAGCCTGTTAGAAATTCAGAACTTCAGGCTCCATCCCACACCTGAGTTTTAAAGAATCCCAAGTGATTCATGTGATCATTAAAGTTTGGGAAACACAGTATGAATCTATTACAATGATGACTGTATCAGCAAGAAACATTCAATTATATTTAGTTAAGTTCAAATTAAATTAGACTGTTGAAGTTGGGGAATCATAATGCTAATCACTGCCACTTAACCAAGCACCTATGACTGGGCTTAGTAAAAGTCATGGGATCAGGCCAAGAAGCAAATCATATCACATCACTCCTGTGCTTAAAATGCTCCAGTGAAGGGCACCTGGGTGGCTCAGTCAGTTAAGCATCTGACTCTTGATTTAGGCCCAGGTCATGAATCTCATGGTTTGTGAGATCAAGCCCCACATCAGGTTTCTCCTTGACAGTGAGGAGCCTATTTGGGATGTTCTCTCTCTCCCTCTCTCTCTGCCCCTCCCCTGCTCACTCTCACACACACACACACTCTCTCTCTCTCTGTCTCAAAATAAATAAACTTAAAAAAATAAAAAAGAATAAAAAAAAATCTCTAGTGAATTCCCATCACACTTAGAGGAAAATTCAAACTCCTCCTGCAAACTTCCACGCTCTGTTCCTGCCCCCACTTACCTTATCCATCCCACGTGCCATGTTTCTGTGACCCACCCCCAGCACACTAAACTCATTCTCCCCTTCGGTTCTCAGGAATATGTATGTGGAATGCCTTTTTGCCCCTATAATTCTAGGTAAATAAAATACTAAATTGTTTTTGAGGTAGGCAAGCATAGGACTTCTTATCAGTTAATCACAGGTGTTTTTTTCAACCTTAAGAAGTTTAAATGAGTATCATAGAACTAATTGCATCTTGGGGCGCCTGGGTGGTGCAGTCGGTTAAGCGTCCGACTTCAGCCAGGTCACGATCTCGCGGTCCGTGAGTTCGAGCCCCACGTCGGGCTCTGGGCTGATGGCTCAGAGCCTGGAGCCTGTTTCCGATTCTGTGTCTCCCTCTCTCTCTGCCCCTCGCCCGTTCATGCTCTGTCTCTCTCTGTCCCAAAAATAAATAAACGTTGAAAAAAAAAATTTAAAAAAAAAAAAGAACTAATTGCATCTTAATACACAGCCCACAAAGGGGAAAATTTTCCCAGCGTTAATCCAGAAATTAGTTTTTGCCTTTGTAACTGTGCCTCTAGAGGTTTAACTATTTGTCAGTGATCAGTGATTAAAGTTCACTATTTTAATCTTCTACCTTAAACAAATAAAACACCCAAACTAAAAATAATTTTTCTCTCTCTAAGGGATCAGAGATTTTGATATTTTTCTCTCTACCATAAGGGAACATGGAAGTAGATCAACGGACAATCTGGCCCACAGGAAACTAATTAAAGAAGACATAAAGTTTGGTATTAAAGGAACCTTTTATTTAATCCAACTCCTTTTACCAAGGTTCTGAGACCAGAGAACTAATGAGGTGAACACGTTTTCTTTACTCAAGAGCACACAGTATTTCAGAGACAGGGCCTCTCTAGATTCTCAACCAAGGTCTACAGACTCCCCGGGAGGTCCATGAATGGGTTTAAAACTTGGACCTAGGGGCACCTGGCCAGTTGACTGAGCATCCAAATTTTGACTTCCTCTCAGGTCATGGTACCAGCGTCATGGGATAGAGCCCTGTGTCTGGCTCCAAACTAAGCACGGAGCCTACTTAAGATTGTTTCTCGGGGTGCCTGGGTGGCTCAGTCGGTTGAGCATCCGACTTCAGCTCGGGTCATGATCTCACAGCTTGTGAGTTCAAGCCCCACATCGGGCTCTGAGCTGACAGCTCGGAGCCTGGAGCCTGCTTCAGATTCTGTGTCTCCCACTCTCTCTGCCCCTTCCTCGCTCATGCTCTGTCTCTGTCTCTCTCTCAAGAATAAATAGAACATTAAAAAAAATTTTTTTTAAAAGATTGTTTCTCTCCCTCTGCCCCTCTCATCTACTCATGCTCTCTCTCTAAAAAAGCAAAACAAAACAAAAACAAAAAACAAAAAAACACAAAACTTGAACCTAAAATTGTCTATATAACTGTAAATGTGCATCTTTCTGAGAGCATCTGTGACTTCCATTAGATTCTCAAAGGGCCATGCAACTTCCCCAAACATTATTTAAATGGTACAGATTTATATATAAAATAATACATGTGGACTTGCTAAATACTTACAAGATACTATATCTCTCTAACTTGAATGGCATAATATTCTGAGGTACTCAATGAAGCTTAACATTAAAATATGCTATTTATATGAAAGGCTTACAAACATTCCTTTATTTCTTGATGTCACTGAAAATTACAATACCATATAATAATTAAATTATAAAAATACATTAGGATTCTTATACTTACCCAAATCATTAGTAAACTCATTGGATTCTTCTCCCAAAATGTTTTTTCCCAAGCCTGGAAACTGAATGATTTAGAGTATGACAAAGAAACAAAAAGACAAAAACAAAGACAAAGCAAAAACCAAAAAATCCCCAAATCCCACATACATGTTCAATTCTGTGCATATTCTCATTTTGTACTTCAAATTAAATAGTACAACTAGATCTGAAATTTAGAAATTTACAATCCCAGAAATCAATCTAGTATAAAAAGTGAAGTCAGGTTGGTTCAGTACTTAGTTTTCTAATATTTTCCTGCTCCTTTGCCCCTCCAGGAAGTTCAAATCATGGTAGAAGTCTGGTTTCCTTATGTTCCGTTGGGTCTGCAGAAGTACTTTAGAAACTTCATCCTTCCACTTACAGGCGATAGAACTAGAATATTTGCAAAGGAGACACTTGAACTGTTGCTCTTCAACAGCACCCTACTGGCTTATGTGAGTTAACGGGATTGACCAAGTACCTAAGACTATGACTTGAGACTGGATAGAAGGGATCAGAGGATGACATTAGATGTCATTGCTTTCATTTTCAGGTGTCTTCCGCACTTGTTGGAGGTATCGCGAGACTTCAGGCAAGGAAGGGGATACAGAAAAAAAAGGGGGGTTGGAATATTCTATTGACTGATAATGCATCAAAATAGAATGAAAAAATGGAGCTAAGTAAGAATCTTCTCTCATCCCTTGTATGACCAGGAAGCTTTCAGGGACATTTTGCTTCTGATCCTCTCTGTGGTAAAGATAATTTTTCTCAAAATATGTGCTCAGTTACGATATGCATGATGTTCTCAGGGAACAAAAGCAAGGAAATGCTTCAGATATTTGAACCCAGTCATTTGCAGATGGCCAATAGCTTTAACAATGCCTGCAACCACTTGTTATTTTTTTCCTCTTCTGAAGAACAATCCAAGTCAACAGGGGCTGCCAGTGAGCCCATTCATCCCGAGGCTACAAGATATAAGGGTCATGAAACAAAGCCTCTTATATAGCCAGCAATGAATGTCGTTTATTTGTTCATAAGTCCTGTCATGTTTATCAATGAACAGTTACCTCAGCTTGTTAAAATGCTTGGGGGCAAATATTAGCCAATAACTGTGCATGTTGATACATTTCTAATGCAGTTGCTCAACCTTCTCTTGCACCCAACTATCTCGATCAGTAACAAAAATAAACTTGCTTCATTTATTGGAGCTAGATATTATAGGGCATGAAAAAGTATAGTTGGCAGAGATTTCAAGGGGTCATTTATTCTCTCTTCCTGCCTATGTTCAAGAATTCATTTAAATGGTTCCAAATGATTCCCAACATTTTGAGAATTTCATAGACACTATTCCAATATTTTGTACTGCTTCCTGTAATAAAGTTCTATCCTCTCAAATCTTAAAAAAATATGTAATTATTAGATTATCATATAAAGGCAACATAGTATTGCAAAGAGCACAAACTCTGGAGCCAGTCGGCCTGTGTTCAAAAGCCAGCCCTGCTATTTGCTTGCTGTGTAACTTTGGACAAGTTACTTAACCTCTCTGTGCTTCCCTTTTCTCATCCATTACATTGGAATAATAGTTTCTACCTCATAAAATTATTACAATTTTAATATAAAATATAAATATATATTATTTATAATTATATTATTTATAATTATATAATATTATAATAGTTACATAAATTAATATACTTAAAGCCCTTAGAAGTGCCTGACACACAGTGAGGACTCGTAATTGTCTGCTAGGGCTATTGTTTGTTATAACTACTTACAAATAGTTTCTTTTCCCAGTCAGCTTAAGATACCTAGAATCACAATCATTGTTAGTTATAAATGTTTTTCTATTATAATAAAGGGAATTTCCAGTATCCAGGACAGTACAAGCCAATAACTGAGGCAACCATTAGATACAAGATTACATCAAAAGGTGGGATATGATATGTCAAGTTAAAAAAAGAACTCAATAAAACAGTATGTTCTCATTTCTACTGAGATCAGCTCTATGTGCCATGCAAACAACTACATATAGACGGAAAATGTTCCTACAAGATTTGGTAAAACATAGCTGTTGTTCTCTCTAGTGTTAGGATTAAAGATTCTTATTTTTGCTTATTTTCCAGAGAACATGTATTATTTATTAAAAAGAAATTCATTGATAAGTAAAAAGCTCCACGCCCAAATGTTTCTCTTTAGCTGTCAGAATTGTGATTTTTTTTTCCCTTATTTGCTTTTCCGTATTTTACATTTTTTCTGCAATGAACATTTTGGTAATTTTGTAGTCAAAACAAGGGGAGGGGAAAACCCAAGTTGTTTATTAGAATCCTAGGCGCTAGTATTCTGAGGTGGGAGGGAAAAGGAAAAGGCATGCTATTCTATCGGAAAAAAACCACAGGGCAATTACCTTGGCTGTGACCTTTCTTACCTTGTTCTCCATATTCTGTTTTATAACTTCCTGTACCAGTACATCAGCCAGGGTCTTGAAATCAACTGCAAACTTCTTGTTCTTTTCTCCCTCTTTCTTTTCTTCTATCAGCAGCTGGAAGAGGGCTTCCTGCTGCCTGCATGCCCGGGCGATGTTGGCAGCTTTCTCAGAGACACGGAGCAGCTCCCGGAGGATATCTGACATTCTGAACCTTGCTTTCCAGTGGCGGTGCTGGTGGAATCGGCACCTACCCTCTGGGCTGTCAGCTGGAAAAGTACAAGAATGTGAAAGAGAAAGCAGTTCAGGGAATGATGTCAGGGTGCCTCTGACACTACTAAACAGCCCGTCTGGCAGTCAACCTGGTCGGCAGGGCTGAACAGCTAGCATATGCCCTAGTCACATCTTCAGTGTGAAAGACCAGATAGCATCTAAAATATCAAAGTTATTCTTTTTTTTTTTTTAATTTTTTTTTCAACGTTTATTTATTTATTTGGGACAGAGAGAGACAGAGCATGAACGGGGGAGGGGCAGAGAGAGAGGGAGACACAGAATCGGAAACAGGCTCCAGGCTCTGAGCCATCAGCCCAGAGCCTGACGCTGGGCTCGAACTCACGGACCGCGAGATCGTGACCTGACTGAAGTCGGACGCTTAACCGACTGCGCCACCCAGGCGCCCCTCAAAGTTATTCTTTAATACTTCAAAATGTACTTTCAGTCTCAAAAATCCAGTATGCAAAGAATTGAATTCTCAGAGAAGGGAAGTCTTTGAGAATCCTCTACATTATATTTCTAAATCCCTAGATGGACAGGCAGGTGGATACAAGCACAATGTTAAAAGGAAAACAGAAGTCTTGTAATGATCTTAGAATGATCACACAGGCTCAGTGGCAATGTTGAAGCAGTGCTTTCTTTCACCATATTGGGGAAGAAGACAGAAGTGGAAGAGGATTTGTCCTTATCCGTTTTAGGGCAACTTTCTAAAGTACTAAGCATCACTTCAGCAAGCACTGTAGTGTCCTACAAGACTCTGAAGCCACGCTTGGGCTAACAGCTAAGCTGTCTTCCAACTACCTTTTTTTTTAATGGGGAGAAAAAAGTCCCACAATCTGTGCTGCTGTAAAAGTTTAAATAGTAAAGTAAAACACGCAACTTGTTGGGACTTTAAAAGTTCTGGCTTCTAAGAAGTATGCTGTCATAACTTGACATAGCAATTGGGTAATTAGAAAACATTTCTCACTTTTCAGCAGTAGGTGCATTTCACTGAAAGCTCCAACAAGTTTAAAATGCGATGTCATTGTGAGAATTACTGTGAGGATTGTCAGTTTTGTTTTACAGTCAAGGAAACCTGAAGCCTAGAAAGATTGGGTAACTTCTTTAGGGTTACAAAAGACTAAACGGCAGGGCTCTGAGTCAGTCTCATTCACAAGCCCAGGATCTTTATTGTCATAATAAACACTCAACTTTTAAAAAAAAATTCCCTTAATGGACTCTCAGAGGCTGAGGATTAATATAACAAGGATGTCCTTGCAATGGAGTTAACTGTGAGTGGTCATAGTTGGTTTGTCTTAAGTTTGCCAAAAAAAAAATGCTATATTCTTAAGATTATGCGTCAACCACCATGAGAACATATGTCCAACCTCAACAGTAACAGAAGTGAATAAAAACAATGAGATCTCTTCCTTTGCTACTAGGTAGACAAAGCTATTTTAAGCTAGCATTCATTCTGCAGGTATGGTGAAACAGGTACGGATGCTCTACTCAGGGACATGCAAACAAATGGCTTTCCAGAGGGGGTTTGAGATAAATGTATCAAGATTGCTACATATGTCACTTATCTTTAGGCAGTAATTCCATTTTGGCTTAATTTGTTTTAAAAAAGTCAGAGTTGGGTTAAGATATATTTGCAAAAGAAGGATTAACATTGTTTACAATAGCAAAAGGTTGAAAATCTTAAATATTTGTAAAATGTATGACAGACTACTATGTGGTCCTTAAAATCACGTTTTTAAGGAATATTTAATAATATGGAGATATGTTGATGCTATAGCATTAAACGGGAAAACCTTATAGCTATGTATATAGTATGATAATATGTTACTAATTTGTGTTTATATGCACACATACATTCTCTAGGTGTGTGTGTGTGTGTGTATACACATATATACGTATATATGTATACATATAAACACATACATATATATATGTATATATGTATGTATATATATATATATCTAGAGAGAGAGAGACAGAGACAGAGAGAGGAGAGAGCGAGATTGAAAGACCAATAGGTGATGCTGTACTGGTAGTTATGCAGCTATTTAATGGTAGTTATTGAGTACGAGAATTGTAAATGATTTTTTTATTATGCTTTTCTATAATTTTCAAATATTCTACAATAAATATATACTATTTTTATAATAAGAAATGACATTCAAAACTATCTTGGGGGGCGCCTGGGTGGCGCAGTCGGTTAAGCGTCCGACTTCAGCCAGGTCACGATCTCACAGTCCGTGAGTTCGAGCCCCGCGTTGGGCTCTGGGCTGATGGCTCAGAGCCTGGAGCCTGTTTCCGATTCTGTGTCTCCCTCTCTCTCTGCCCCTCCCCCGTTCATGCTCTGTCTCTCTCTGTCCCAAAAATAAATAAACGTTGAAAAAAAAAAATTAAAACTATCTTGGGACAATTAAGCATGAAGGACAATAATTCGTCAATTCGTGGAGACAGTTGTCCAAAGTAGTGCTATGGTAATAACACACAGAGCTGTCAGGTGGTAGAGAAGATGAAGTTAAAAATTAAACAAAAACACCTGCCTACCTAACTGCCATTTTTCATCCAGGAGTGAATAATAGTCAAAGATTCACTGTGGTTGACTTGAACCTAAACACTAAGAAAAACAGGGGCGCCTGGGTGGCTCAGTCGGTTAAGCATCCAACTTCAGCTCAGGTCATGATCTCACGGTTTGTGATTTCGAGCCCCACATCAGGTTCTGTGCTGATAGCTCAGAGCCTGGAGCCTGCTTCAGATTCTGTGTCTCCCTCTCTCTGTTCCTTTCCCTCTCACACTGTGCCTCTCTTTCTCTCAAAAGTAAATAAACATTAAAACATTTTTTAAAAAAGTTATATTAATAAGCTGAGGCACTTTGACTTAGAAATAATTTATGGCACCTGTACACTATAAATTATAAGTTATATGAAATGTGTATATACCCGGATACATACATATCTTGGAATACATATGCCCCAAGGGTATAAATTCAGTAACTCTGATAATATTGATTTCTTTGTAAATGTTCTAAGTAACTGATTATAAGTGAAGAGAAAATAATCAGTGAACCAATAGCATCCAAATAGCTTATCTTAAAAGCAGCATAAAGATTTTAAGGAGTCTAATTTGAAAGCTTTCTAGATAAACAGTGTCAGTATTGTCTATTTCCCTCAACTTTGTTAAAACCAAGTTTGTTTAAAGAAACACTATACTACTGCACTGTTGCACAACCAAGAAACTTTCCCTATGATGCCCTCAGAACACTCAGGTGAGCTACTTACAGAGGCCACACCACTACCCCTTTCTTCCCACAGAAAGCTCACCCCAGGGATCTGGAGTTTTTCCCCTTTGAACTTGACCTTTATTTCCTCAATAATGACCATTCTCTCACAACTTGAGCACAGCAGCTTGACCAGCAGGAAAGAAGTATCAGCTATAAACTTCAGTCCTGCAATTAATAGGTGTACAGATTTTAGGAATTCATCATAACACAATACTCGGGTTTTTCAGTTCCAAAGTTATCTTAGAGTCCAACCTTAATCACTCTTTCTTCTGACCCTGGACAACACTATCATATTTTGTTAAGCTCCGGATTGAATGCCCAGTTTCAACTTTGGACTATGCTTTCTCCAGCCATCCTATAGAACCCAGCACTGTTTACCTTTCTCCAGGATCCTAGCTTCCTAAAAAATCTCTCACAGCTATCATTATCTACATGCAAAACTTTCTGATTAATTTGCACAACTAGCCTGCTACTTTCTGGCTGAATGGACCATTTCCACCATATAAACTGAACCAACATTCTCTGTGCTTCTCTTCAAACTGCTTCCATGTATCTCTCACCATCTGCCCTCAACTCAGGTCACTCAGGCCATTAGCCTGAGGGGAGCACTGAACAATTCATCCTCACCTTGAGTGACTCAACTGGAATAACTCAAATTGTCTATGGAAAAACTGAGGTCTACACTCGATGCTAAATTTCTTCAGGTTTATCAATAACTCTTAAAAACACTTGTGGAAATTATCTTTCAGATGCTTTTTTTAAATGTTTATTTTGAGAGAGAGAGAGCACACACGAGTTGGGGAGGGGCAGAGAAAGAGAGAGAAAGAGAGAGAGAGAGAGAGAGAGAGAGAATCCCAAGCAGGCTCTGTGCTCTCAGCACAGAGTCTAACTCGAGCCTCAATCTCACAAACTGCGAGACCATGACCTGAGCTGAAATCAAGAGTCAGTCAGATGCTTAACTGACTGAGCTACCCAGGCACCCCTCAGATGATTTTTAAAAACAAGTCTACATACTCATTTTTTAACCTAAGCTAGTTTTATTTAAACATTTCAAATGCCTTAAATGAAAATTATTACAGATTCATGATTAGTAAGTTATGACATTTACCATAATTTAATAGCCTTCAATAAAGAAGAAATTATTTTTGATTAGTATTTCTTAATAGTTGTTCTGAGAACCACCTGTATCAGAATTAACCAAGGTGCCTACTAAAAAGACAAATTCCTGGGCTCGATCCAAACTTGGTGAATCAGAATCTTTAGGGAAAGGGCCTAGGAATCTATATTTTTGTCAGCCTCCTAGATGATGCTGACCACTGAGGTTTTTTAATATATTTTTTTCAATGTTTATTTTTTGAGAGACAGAGACAGAGAATGAGCTGGGTAGGGGCAGAGAGCGGGGGAGACACAGAATCTGAAGCAGGCTCCAGGCTCTGAGCTGTCAGCACAAAGCCCAACACGGGGCTTGAATTCACAAACCATGAGATCATGACCTGAGCCAAAGTCCGATGCTTAACCGACTGAGCCATCCAGGCTCCCCTGACCACTGAGATTGAATATCTACTATTCTTCAGGCCCACTTCTTCTTCTTCAACACCATTCTGGCAAGTCCATGGGGGCTGGCACCTGGTGGCAGATATCTTGGTGGAACCATGTAGGTGCAAGAGTTCCTCTATTGGTTATCCACATGCAGAGACAGGGCCAAGTTAAAATAATGGCTAACATGTATTGGGTGCTTACTGTATGCCAGGTATCCTTCTAAGCACTTTACATATATTATTTATTTGATTTTCACAAAACCTTATGAAGAAGGTACTATTATCTCTATTTTACAGATAAAGAGACTGAGGCACAGGAGGTTAAGTAGTTTGTCCAAAATCACACAGCTAGGAAGTGACTATGACAAGATCCAAGTCCCAGGAAAATGGCAGTTGCTCTATTAGCCAGCACCGTAGCCAATAAAATTCTTTCATAAATTCTTGCCTGTTAAGTCAGGGGAAAAGTAATTATGGGGTAAATAATCATAAGTATATTATTACTATAAGTATATTATTACTATATACTATAAGTATATTATTACTATTATATAGCAAAAAAATTAGAGAAACACACCTAGCTGACAGCTGTCACTAATTTGACTATTAAAAATCACTATCTGACACTTGACTTCCTTTGTACTCTTAGAAAAACCTTTCCCCAGCTGATCTTCAATGTATACCATCTTTGCTGGAAAGTAAAATCTCACCCATCGTATTCTACTGATGTCTCACTTAAATGGCTGTGTTGGCATCAGCGGGAAGGGCTTAGCTCATTCCAAATATCTAATTCCTGTTGCATCAGTTTGCTAGGGTTGCCAGAACAAAATGCCACAGACAGGGTGGCTTCAACAACAGAAATGTATTTTCTCATAGTTCTGAAGTTCCAAGAGCAAGGTGTCTACACGTTTGGTTTCTCCTGAAGCCTCCCTCCTTGATGTGCAGATGACCACCTCCTCGCTGTGTCCTCCTATAGCCTTTCCTCTGTGCATGAACATCCCCGGTGTCTCTTCCTCTTTTTATAAAGACACCAGTCAGATTGGATGAGGGCTCATCCATATGATATCATAAACCCTAATGATCTCTTTGAAGACCCTGTCTCCAAATACAGTCACATTATGAGGTACTGGGGGTTAGGGCTACAACATGCACATTTTGAGGGAATACAACTTATCACCCAACACCTCTCCTGAAAGAGGTATTGCTTGATAATCTTAGCAAATGTCAACAAAATCTATTCCTTCATCTTCTGTCTTCTGGCCAGATAGTAAAGATGGAGTAAAGTACTTTGCCCCGTCTATATGGTCAATAAATTTAATTCTGTGAGTCAGTCTTTCCTAATAGGAGGTACTCACTTTAACAGCCAAATCATTAATGATACAGTGAACATTGAAATAACCTCCTGTAAGCCTTACTCTGGGACAACCTACTTCAAGGCACTTTTGAGCAGAACAGGTTTGAAGAAGTTATATTCCTCACCATCTCAGACCAAATGAATGTCAACATAATAGTGTATCGCAATGTCAGACAGAAATGGTCTCTTTAGCTTTTGGGGGATTTTTTCATCCCCAGTTGGAGAAATATTGAATACACTGAAGTGGGTGAAAAAACTGTTCTTAAGACTTTTCATGGAAACCCAAATCTCTACACAGACAAAATTCCATTTTAATTTTTTTTTTCAACGTTTATTTATTTTTGGGACAGAGAGAGACAGAGCATGAACGGGGGAGGGGCAGAGAGAGAGGGAGACACAGAATCGGAAACAGGCTCCAGGCTCTGAGCCATCAGCCCAGAGCCCGACGCGGGGCTCGAACTCACGGACCGCGAGATCGTGACCTGGCTGAAGTCGGACGCTTAACCGACTGTGCCACCCAGGCGCCCCATAAAACTCCGTTTTAATTCCTAACCATCCTGTCATCTCATCAGAACACCAGTATTTTAAAAATCACATTTGAATAATATATGCATATTTCAGATGTGATAAACAGTACAGTGGGAAAGACACAGGCTTTGGAGACAAACCTGGGATCAAAACCTGGCTTTGCCATTAACTAGCTGTGGGGCATCAGGTAATTTACTTACGCCGTCTGAGCCTCTCTCCTCATCTGTAATATGAATAGAATACTTAAAGTGCAGGGACACTGTGAAGATCAAATGAGATATTTCTGGAAAAGTACCGAGCACAGAGCTTTGCATATAGTAGATAACAAAGGACAGCTATGACTATTAAATACAACTTCACAGAAATACAGTCACATGTCCTTCCTTGAGAAAATAAGAGGTTGGCAACTTTATATGGGTCGCCAAAATCTTTTCTGAAAATTTACTAGTCCATTAAATCCCAAAGGCTGGGAGCTACTTGTAATTCTCTGAATGACCCAGATAAACTTCCTTTATGCAGGCCAGATCTGATTGCTTCAGTTTCTGGGCGTCTGAGTGGAAACTTGGCTCCTGGAGGCTGCATGACTACTCTGACATCATGGTAGGCCCTGTATGGATGGCTTGAGAGGATCATTATACTGTCAAGGGGGACATTTTGTCAGGATATTTTATGGGGATTCTAGGGCCCAAGTGTGTTCTTTTTGTGTGAAGAGCCTGGTTGTACCAGGAACTGGCCTTGCCCCTTAGCTGTTTACAGTGACAGAAGTGTGACGACATAGATAAGGGCCCTCAGCAAAACAGAACTGCTAATGAGTAAGCAAGTAGGTCAAAGCATTTCTGTTGACATTCCTTTCTTCCTGCAGATAACTTCATACATAACTTCTACAACTTCTAGGGAACCTACATTTTGTCCAATATACAATGACTCCCCACCCCACCTCCACCATTCACATCCTGAATTTAGTTTTTCGCTCATCCTCTGAAGGTTGACAGTTGGAAGCTGTTGTGTGGTGGCCATGCCTGACAGCTATTGCTGTTGGGGGGAAAGGCCAGACGTCCATGAAATACCTGGGTGTTTTACAAGAAATGTGTTTGTGGAGACTTCTCTCAAGGGGGTGCAAATGTCCAGGAGTCTCCCTAGGTGGGCACATGCTGAGGGGCTGACCAAGGCTTCACTTAGTGCACAGTTTTAGGGGAAACGCAGACCTTGTTCTCCCTCTATTTCCTGCTTAGGACTGCTTTAGGGGCTAGTTGAGAGAATGGCAGAAGGGATAGGGCAGAACAGAAGTGGACCCACATAAAGTATGGCGGGGTCTCAGTTGGCTCAGTTGGAGCAACCAGTGAGGGCTAAAGAGCAACTTGGTAAAAATAGCCTCTCCTGATGCCCCTATGGATCTTTCGTAGGCCCATCCGGTTACCTAGGTCATAGGGGAACTGTATCATAAGCATTACTAGGTATTTAAATACTACCTTTTAGCTAACTGGAAATTAAATTATCTTTCTAGTGGATAAGCTGTATTCAACTTTCAGGTATTTGTCAAACATTTCTCAGAATCCATTAAGAAGTACAGTGTGAGACCACCTGTATTTTTTTTACTTTGTACTGTTATTTTCCTTTGTACTGTGCGATATTGCTGTCATCAATTCATAGGTTCTAAATTTAGCATTTTCATAATTGATTTCCCACTATCTGTCCATTTACTCCTATGCTCTAATTTGTAATGCTGTTCCCTCTGGTTGATGATGCCTTTCCACCTGCCTTCTATGCCTAATGTTTACTTACTTTCTCACAATCAGTTCACGGGCAAAACAAACAAACAAACAAACAAACAAACAAACACTTGAACAGATACTTCATAAAAGAGGATATTTAAATGGTCAATAAACATATGGAAAGATATTCTATCTCAGTAATCAGGAAAATACAACTTAAAATCACAACAGGACACCACTGCCTATCCAATGGATGGAATAGCTCAAATCAAAGACTAACACTTTCCAGTTTTGGTGAGGATTTGGAGCAATGAGACTCTTATACACTGGGGTGTGAATGAAATTGGTAAAGCCAGTGGTGGAAATTACTTCTAAGTTGTTGAATATAAGCATAGTCTGTGATCCAGCCATTTCCCTTGTAGACATACACCCTACAAAAATTCATGCATGTATGAATATGAAAGGCAGGCATGAGAATATTTATGATTGCATAATTTGTGACAAGTTAACACTAGAAATAAGCCAAACAACCATCAATCATAAGATGGAACAAACTATGGCATGTTCACATAAGTAGATCTACATAGCAGTGAGAATGAATGAATTACTGCTCTAGGAAACAAGGTGGATGCATCTCACAGACACATA